TGTGTGTGTGTGTGTGTGTGTGTGTGTGTATGTCTTGAGACAGGGTCTCCCTATAGCCCCAGCTGACCAGGCTGGCCTCAATCTCACAGAGCTCCTCCTGAGTGCTGGGTTTAAAGGTGTGCATTACCATGCTTGGCTTGATGTTTTCTTAATAATGAATGATTGTTCTGGACAGTTGAGAGAATGATTTATGATAGCCATACTTCTGGTTTTGAATGAGTAAGCTCATTAAGCATAAGCAAAAATGAAAGTAAGTGGCACCTAACAGATAGAAGCAGCAAATAGCAAATTATCAAATCCAGTGCACACAGCATCCAGCAGAGGTGACTAGAGTGGCCTGATTGAGAGCAAAGAAAAGCACCATCAAACTGGGTACCTACAAACATGTAGCTGAAGTTGACTGGGGAAGTTGAGGCAATCAGCTGGATTCATGATTGAGAACCTTCTGTCCCTGGATGAGTTTCCAATCAGACCAGTCTTTCCCTGAATAAGCTTCTGAATTCTTTTCTACTACAGGAAAAGAATATATACCATGGGATAAACAATATGTACTGTGGGCTATACAGTACTGTGACCTCGTTTAGAAATGGTTCACATGTTAGCTGTACTCACGAATGCAGTCTTTTTAAAGTCCTTAACTGCTAGTTGTTTTCCCTTCTGCCTGTTAGAAAGCCAGTGGCCCTGGCCGACCCAGGACAGGGGATTTGGAGACTGAGACATACTTGGGTTTGAAATGGAGAGACAACGCCCTCCTCCACAGCAGGCTTCTCAGTGAGCTCAAACAGCACGTGAGCATTTACCAACATACCGTGCATCGCAGTGACAGGTGAAACGATGCAGATGTCACACAGGGCACATTGCTAGAAACACGCCTCCCCTTTCCAGTTCTCTTTACTTCCCACTCAGCCCTCCCCAGGAGCACGTCAAGTTCAGGCTTAGGCTTTTCTTCAAAGATCTTTATCTTGAAGTCTCTGAGGTCTAGTCAGAAATGCAGCCTTTTTTTCTGTCCTCACTCTGCTCTATTTGCTATGATAGATTTCCACTGTATTTAGAGTTCTTTTCTCTGTGCTTTCTCTTCTGTGAACTGAACTTTTTAGTGTACTGTGCACACTCCTCCTGCTGTGTGCAGACACTGCTTCCTTTTGTGACAGGTCTTCATCCTATCCCTGAGCTCCTGAGGACAGGCCAGCAGCTCACCCTCAGCTCTGTTCAGTGCCTGTTCTGTAGGGGGATGACTTGGGTTTGCTACTGTTGTGTTGCCGCTTTGTCCTGAATGTGCAGGTGACTTGAGTGCAGTCCATGCCATAGATGCCTGTAGCATGTAGGTGAGAGCTGAATGCTCTGTCTTTGGGCCACCCCAAGAATAGTATAAATGCATCCCCTTTTCCTCACACAGAACCGCAAAGGCGCCGTGAGCGAGCTGGAGCACATTCCGTATGCTGTTCTGTGTGACGTGCGTTCTTATGATGGCGTTGTCATTGCTGGGTAAGCAAGACTATTTCCCCTCCTGCTCTTGTCCTACGAACCTTATCCTCACCTGCTACCCTCTGAGTACCAGTGCTGAACTTCCCTTGGGTGCAAGCCTTCCTCGCTTACTGGCCAATTAGTGTTCCTGGCCAGTTCTGTTCTAGGGTTTGTGAGCTCTGCAGTGAGTAGTGGGAAGCAGACAGTGTGGAGCGGGTCTGCAATCCTTTGGTCTCCACAGGTCTTTCCTGACTTTCAAGTCATTCCTGTGGCATGTTGTATTAGATTTTCATTAAAGCAAATGGTTTGTATTTTATGAAGAGATAAAAAGGTCAAGCAAGAATAGTGTTGGCACAGCAGGTCCTGTTCTTTCTTAATCTTGCATTCTGGAGCCTATATTAGGAGAAAGGGCTCTGGTCACACAGAATCCCCCCTACCACACAGTGTGGATTTAACTTGCCCGGAACTAGGCTTCTTATATGTCGCCGTGGCTGAGAAGTTTTCATTTTAGCTTCTGTAAATTCCTTTGGCTTCTATTCCAAAAACCACTTTCATGAATTCTTCATTTTTATGTTTTACAGAGATATGTTTATGCATTTCTCTAATCTACAATAAGATTGATTTTCTCTTAGGGTTAGGATGGTGTCATGAACTAGAGTTTCAAACTGTAAACTTTTTTTTTTCTTCAAACTGTAAACTTTATATACTTTTGCAGTCTCAAGTTGTATACCAGAAAGTAAGGCCAGAGCCCTTAAGCTTCTGAGTTTGGATCAGCTTTGTGGGGAAGCTGCCTTGAGGCCCCTGCTTAGAGGAAACTGGAAATAAGATCCAACCTTACACTTAAAACAACTGATAGTCATTGAGTCTTTTTCTAAAAAAAATTTTTTTCCCTTTAAGTAGCATTCCTTAAAGGGCACCATTTGAGGGCTAGCAAGATGGCTCAGAGGGTAAGGGCACTTGCCACCAGGTCTGACTGAGTTCAATCCCTGTAGCCCACGTTTATTGTCTATTGATGGAAAGAGAGCACCAACTAACTCCCACTAGTTCTTCCCTGACCTATATGTGCACTGGGCTCGTGTGTTCCCTACCCAAATAAATAAAATGTAATAAAAACATTTTTTTTAGAAAGCACCATTTGAGTTGAAATTCCAGATAGGTTATTGAAATATTTTGTGGCAGGCCATGCCATGAAAAATTGTTTTATTACATTTTATTTATTTTGTGTGTGTATGTGTATATATGTGGGTGCACATGTGTCACAGCACATATATGGAGATCAGAGGACAATTAGTAGGAATTGATTCTCTCCTTCTACCATGTGGGTCTCAGGGATTGAACTCAGGTCATCAGACTTGGTGGCAGTCACTTTTATCTGCTGAGCCATCTTGCTGACTCTTAAAAATGTTAAAGGAGATCTGTCTGAGAGGGACTTCTTAAAAGACCTTTTGTTCATTAGCTATAGTTCAGAGGTTGATGTCCTTCTCAGAAGAGAACCCTTAGTTTGTAAAGCTGAGTGGACCAGAGCCTTGGCTTTCTGTCCATCTATTTCCTAGTAGAAAGCCATTAGGCTTTCAGCTTGGCTGCCACCGTGTGGTCCTCTGAGCTGCTGATGGGCAGGGCACTTCTGCCATTGTCTGAGGGCCAGGGTTTACATCCATTTGACTTCAAAGGGTGCTGCTGCACCTTAAGAAGGTACTAGAGGCCAGGCTGCTGAGACTGGACTCAAAGAGCCCTAAGAGACCAGAATGTAGGCAGCACTTCCTCCTCAAAGCCAGTTAGGAGTTTCTGCTCTGGACATGGAGCCCTGAAAGGCAGGCTGTCAGCTCTGAGGCTAGCTGCTGGCCACCACCACCTTCAGCCCACCTCCTTTTCCCTGAGGACCTGCTCAACTCTAGATTAGGCCACCAAAAGCCTGGTGATGCCAGGGTTCTGGGGATCGATTGTATGAAACTTGAGCTGTGGGTCAGAGAGGCTCCTTAGGGCTCCTCTTCTGAGAGAACCTTGCATTGATGGCTTAGCCCCATCTTTCAATCTTGGGTATATGCAGAGCATCTTGTGTTTATCATTAAAATTTTATCTGGCGGTTACGATGCTTGTTTTCTGGGTCAGCTCTTGAATCCCTTTTCATTTGAGACAGCGGTGTTTGTGGTTACCTCATTCCTAATCAATGCTGTATTCTCCAGGCCTTCTGCAGTCATGCATCTCCAAGGAGCTCTTAAAGGCACAGCACTGGCTTACCTGCTTTCTCTTGTGCCACTTCTCATCTTGTTCTTCCTTTTCCTTTTCTCTTTGTTTTATACAACTAGAACCTGATCAGAGGCTTGATTTCATGTAACTATGAGCCAGTTTCACACTTGCGCCTGTTAAATATATTCATATAGGGCTAGAGAGATGGCTCACTGGTAAGGGTACTTGCTACTCTTGCAGAGGACCTGGATTCAGTTCCCAGCACCCACATGACAGCTAAAAATCACCTGTAACTCCAGTTCCAGGGGATTAGATACCCTCTTCTGGCCTCCATAGGCACTGCATGTATGTGGTATACTTACATACATGTAGACAAAACACCCATACACATAAAATCAAATACATTAATATATACAATATATTTTATATAATTGGAGAGCAGACTTGAGCCTCTTGCCTCTGCTCAGCTTTCCCTATTCTCTGTGTAAGTGAATTTGGCTTTGATTGTTTGTATAGGCAGACTTTGTGGCAGTTAGACACATGACTAACCCAGTGCTGGTTCCTCCTTACTCTTCTTTTCACAGAACCAAAGTGACTTTAAGTCATGTGGATACAGTGGCTACTCACTTGAGCTGGGCCAGCCATGTGCAGACACAGTCGTAAAACTTTCCACACTTTCTTCTCTGGCCTCAAGTTCTTGCCTCCCTTCTGTCTGAGGAGTGATTACCACTTACCTTTTAGGGGCTCTTTGAAGTTTGTTGATGACTTCCTTCTCCCTCATGACTCTCTTCAAGTGCACCTTGGGTTTTCCCCATACTGTTCTGTTTTGTAACTGACCACATCCTTTTTCCCCCTCCCCCTCCCCCTCCTCCTCCTCCTCTCTTTTTAATATATTTTTATTTTATGTGTATTATTGTATGTCGTGCAGTGGTGTGGAAATCAGAAGAGGGTGTCAGATTCCCCTGGAACTGGAGTTAAGGATGACCCTTAGCTGCCATATAGGTGCTAGGAATCAAACCCCACTCCTCTGCAAGAGCAGCCTGTGTTCTTAACTGCTGAGTCATCTCTCCAGCCCAGACCACATCCTTTTTAAAACTGAGATGTAACGTACTATAACATTTACTCTTTGAAGTATAAAATCCAGTGATTTTTTTTTTTTTTTAGTAAATTCATAACTTTGTACCTTAACACCACTAATTCTAGAACATTATCACCACCCTACAAAGAAACTTGGTCTGCATTCTTAAAGGTCTGATGCAGTCCTATCTCCTCTCAGTGTTCTAGAGCACTCTTGCCTAATAACTACTCCCTTCCCAATGTCTGCTCTTCTCATCATGCTTGAGGAAGTGACCAAGCATACAGAGCATGGAATCATGCAGCCTCAGTGTTTCATCAAGACAGAGAAAGAACTTTTACTTTTGTAGCATGAATGCTCTTTCCAGTAATTTGTAAGCATCTTCTAAAACCAGGGGTGGTGGATAGTGTTCTGTTAAACTGGGTATGGTATGTAGTATTCTGTTAAACTGGGGTTGGTATATAGTATTCTGTTAAGCTGGGGGTGGTGTATAGTATATAGGATTCTGTTACATGCTCTGTGGTGCTTGTATATAGTTTTATATGGAGTAAGCACCAACACTGAGTTATAGATGCTCTTCCTCCTTCTTTCTAAACTACATTTTCTTTGGGAAATCAGAGAAACTTCTGTTGTTCCTTGTCTGTTTTGACTTCTTAGTTTTCCAACTTAAAAATCATATAGTTTTAACTATGGAAGGGACTTCAGTGATGATCCAGTCCTAGCACATGCATGTAGAAGAGGTGGCAGAGGCACAGAGCCAGGATGGACATGTGTACTTGTGTCTACTGCCGAGTGCTACTGTGCCACCCACAGGCAGAGCTGTCTTCTCCTCTAAAAACTTGTCTGTCAAAGTGTCACTCAGATTTTTCTTTTATGGGAGCATCTTTTCTTTTTAGAAAGTACTTTATTTATTAAAAGCTGTTCATAGTGGTGCACGCCTTTAATCCCAGCACTCGGGAGGTAGAGGCAGGCGGATCTCTCTGAGTTTGAGGCCAGCCTGGTTCACATAGTGAGTTCCAGGTCAGCTGGGGCTACAGGGAGACCCTGTCTCAAAAAGACCAAAAAATTTATTTATTTATTATTTTTATTTTATATATATGAGTATATTGCCTGCATGTGTAAGTGCACCCATGTCGTGCAATGCCGCAGAGGTCAGAAGAGGACATCAGATCCCCTGAAACTGGAGTTACAGATGGTTCTTAGCTGCCATGTGGATGCTGGGGGATCAAACCCACGTCCTCTGCAAGAGCAATCAGTGCTCTTAACCTCTGAGCCGTTTTTCCAGCCCCACATCTTTTCTTTTTAAAGATGCTAATGAAGCCATGTCTTTGTTTTGTGTTTTGTTTTGACATAGGGCCTTACTATGTATCCCTGACTGGCCTGGAATGCATTATGTAAACCAGGCTGGCCTCAGCCTCACAGAGATTCATCTGCCTATGCCTCTGCCTCTGCCTCCTGAGTGCTAGGATTAAAGGTGTGTGCCACCATGCCTGGTGTTAATTTTGCAAAAATGTTAGAAAATGAAGCACAGTCCACCTAACCCCACCACCCCACAGCTTGCCCCTGTGACTGTTTCTGGGATGTATGGTTTGGGTGCCAGACTATATGTATGTGTATGTGTGTGTGTTTATATACATATGTATGTGTATATACATATAAATAATTTTTAAAAAATATATTTTTTTATTCTTTTTATTTTATGTGTATGTGTGTATTGCTGGGATTTGAGCTCAGGTCTTCTGCAAGAACAGCCAGTGTT